GGCAGTTGATGATGGGCTGGATCTCGTTGGACAGAGGGTGCGTGAGGGTCTGCAGACACCTTTTGGTTCCTGGCCTTCAGGAAAGAAGGCAGCATCTTCGCAGAGATGAGGCACTCTGGAAAGAACCAGTTTGGGGTGACAATTTGGGAGGCTTGTCCCAGACGTGTGGAGGTGCCTTAGAGATGTGGGTGCCATGTTGAATTTGGGGCTCTCGTGCGCAGAGGGAGAGGTCTGGCCTGGACGGACAAATGTCGGAGTCTGTCGAATAGATGAACACTGAGGCGGTGGGCCTGGAGGTGCTCACCTGGGGATAAAGAGGAGAGTGTCCAGCGAGGGAGGAGAGGCCTGGGATGGGCTTTGAGAAGCCCCAACACTTAAAGGCCAGGGAGTGAGGGCGAGGGTGCCCAGGGGATGTAGAGAGATATTATGGGTGATTCCAGAAGCATGTGCTTAATGCTGTCTTCGTGCATAAGCTCGTGATGTGTCCCCAGGGCACGGATCTTACACTTGGGGAGGGCAGGCGTGGGGTCTGGAAAGGGAGGTTTGTGTAGAAGAAAATGTTTGCTAAATAGTAACGTTTACAAGATACTGAAGGGTGTATGGAATCACAAAACCTCGAAACCCTCAAGATCCTAGAGGAGAGCACGGGCAGTAATGTCTCAGACATTGGTCATAGTCCCATTTTCTCTAGATACGTCTCCAGAGGCAAGGGAAACAAAAGCAAAAATAAACTCTTGCGACTACGTCAAAGTAAAAGCTTCTGCACCACAAAGGAAACAACAAAACGAAAAGGCAACCTACAGAATGGGAGCAGATACGTGCAAATGACATACCTGCTAAAGGGTTACTATCCAAAATATATAACGAACTGATAGAACCCAACACCCCCAAAACCAAATAATCCAATTTAAAAATGGGCAGAAGGCATGAACAGACATTTCTCCATAGAAGACATCCAGACGGCCAACAGACACATGAAAAGATGTTCAACATCGCTCATCGTCAGGGATATACAAATCAAAAACCACAATGTGATAGATACCACCTCACACCTGTCAGAATGGCTAAAACCAACAACACAAGAAACAACAGGTGTTGGCGAGGATGTGGAGAAAAAGGAACACTCACGACCTATTGGGAATGCAGACTGGTGCAGCCACTCTGGAAAACAGTATGGAGGTCCTTCAAAAAATTAAAAGTAGAATTATCGTACGATCCAGTAATTCCATTCCTGGGTATTTACCCAAAGAATACGAAAATACTAATCCAGAGGGGTACATGCACCCTTGTGTTTATAGCAGCATTATTTACAATATTTACAAGAGCCAAACTGTGGGAGCAACCTACGTGGTCAATGAAGTATTACTCAGCCATGAAAAAGAACGTTAGCTTGCCATTTGCAATGACACGGATGGACCTAGAGAGTATTAAGTCAGACAGAGAAGGACAAACACCACAGGACTTACTTACGTGTGGGACCAAAAAAACACAAAACGAATGAACAAACGAGCAAACAAAAAGCAAAAAAAGAGACCCCTAAGTACCAAGAACAGCTGGGGGGTTGCCAGAAGGAAGGGGCGGGGGGGGGG